TTAGGATCGTTAGCTCTTCTTGTTGCATTGATCCTTTTACCATTATGTAATGCCCTTCTTTGTCTGTTTTGATCTTTGTTGGTTTAAAGTCTATTTTATCAGAGACTAGGGTTGTAACTTCTGCTTTTTTTTGCTCTCCGTTTTCTTGGTAAATCTTTCTCCATCCCTTTATTTTGAGCCTATGTGTATCCTTGCATGTGAGGTGGGTTTGCTGGATACAGCACACCGATGGGTTTTGACTTTTTATCCAATTTGCTCTTCTGTGTCTTCTGATTGGCGCATTTAGCCCATTTACATTTAAAGTTAATATTTTTATGTGTGAATTTGATCCTGCCATTTGGATGCTAGCTGGTTGTTTTGCCCATTAGGTGATGCAGTTTCTTTATTGTGTCGATGCTCTTTACCATTTGGTATGTTTTTGGAGTGGCTGGTACTGGTTGTTCTTTTCAGGAGCTCTTGTAAGACAGGCCTGGTGGTGACAAAATCTCTCAGCAATTGTTTGTTGTAAAGGAATTTATTTCTCCTTCTCTTATGAAGCTTTCTTTGGCTGGATGTGAAATTCTAGGTTGAAAGTTCTTTTCTTTAAGGATGTTGAATATTGGCCCCCACTCTCTTCTGGCTTGTAGGGTTTCTGCCAAGAGATCCACTGAGTCTGATGGGCTTCCCTCTTTGGGTAACCTGACCTTTCTCTCTGGCTGCCCTTAGCATTTTTTCCTTCATTTCAGCCCTGGTGAATCTTACAATTATGTGCCTTGTGGTTGCCCTTCTCAAGGAGTATCTTTGTGGTGTTCTCTGTATTTCCTGGACTTGAATGTTGGCCTGCCTTGCTAGGTTGGGGAAGTTCTCCTGGATAATATCCTGAAGAGTGTTTTCCAGCTTGGATTCATTCTCTCCTTCACATTCAGGTACACCTATCAAACGTAGATTAGTTCCGTTCACATAATCCCATATTTCTTGTAGGCTTTGTTCATTTCTTTTTACTCTTTTTATTATAATCTTGCCTTCTCGTTTTATTTCATTGAGTTGATCTTCAATCTCTGATATCCTTTCTTCTGCTTGGTCGATTCGGCTATTGAAACTTGTGTATGCTTTGCGAAGTTCTCGTGTTGTGTTTTTCAGCTCCATTAAGTCATTTGTATTCTTCCCTAAGCTGTTTATTCTCATTAGCATTTCATCAAACCTTTTTTCAAGGGTCTTAGTTTCTTTGCATTGGGTTAGAACATGTTCTTTTAGCTCAGAGAAGTTTGTTATTACCCACTTCTGAGGCCTGTTTCTGTCAGTTCCTTAGATTCATTCTCCATCGAGCTTTGTTCCTTTGCTGGTGATGAGTTATGATCCCTTGTAGGAGGACAGGCATTCTGGTTTTGGGTGTTTTCATCCTTTTTGCGCTGCTTTCTTACCATCTTTGTGGATTTATTTACCTACGGTCTTTGTAGTTGGTGACTTTTGGATTGGGTCTCTGCGTGGATGTCCTTTTTGTTTATGATGAAGTTATTTCTTTCTGTTTTTTAGTTTTCCTTCTAAGAGTCAGGCCCCTCTGCTGTAGGACTGCTGGAGGTCCACTCCAGATCCTGCCTGCCTGGGTATCACCTGCGGCAGTTGTAAAACAGTAAGGGTTGCTGCCAGTTTCTTCTTCTGTTATCTTTGTCCCAGAAGGATACGTGCCATGTGTCAGCATGAGCTCTCCTTTATGAGGTGACTCTTTGGATATACAGGGGTCAGGGAGCTGCTTAAGGAGACAGTCTGTCCCTTATAGGAGCTCAAGTGCTGAGCTGTGAACTCCATTGTTCTGTTCAGAGCTGCTGGGCATTTACGTTTAATACTGCTGCAGCGGAACTCTGAACCACCTTTTTTTCCCAGGTGCTTTGTCCTGGGAAGGTGGGGCTTTATTTATAAGCTCCTGACATGCTGCTGCCTTTTTTCAGAGATTTCCTGCCCATCAAGGAGGTAGCCTAGTCACAGTCTGCCAGCAGAGGAGTTGCTGAGCTGCCTTGGCTCTGCCCAGCTGCTGTGTGTACTTCCTTCCGGTTTTTTTTTTATAGTGGTATAGTTAGAACTGCCTCAGTAATGGTGGACTGCCTCGGTAGTGGCGGACTGCCTCGGTAGTGGTGGACTGCCTTAGTAATGGCGGATGTCCTTCCCCCAACAGAGCTGGACCATCCCGGGTACAGCTGCCCTTGCTGTGAAATTCTCAATCCAGAGAGTTTCAGATTGCTAGTCTTTGTGGGGGTGGGACCCACCGAGTCAGATCTCCTGGCTCCCTGTTTCACCCCCCTCTTTTTTCAGTTGAATGGGCAGCTCTGTCTCCCAGGTGTTCCAGGAGCCAGGTGAAATGGCCGCCCATATTTGTGTGAGTTTTTGTGTGGGGACCCACTGTGCCAGCTGAAACAGCAGTCCTGGAAACTTGTGGTGCTTTTCAGCCTGGGAATCTCCTGGTCTGTGGGCAGTAATAACTCATTTGGAAATGTGGTGTTCACTCACCCTCTGTGGTGTTCTCTCTGGGAACTGCATTCCAGAGCTGTTCCTATTTGGCCGTCTTGCAAACTCTTGAATCCCTGGCAGCCACTATTCTGTTTTTTATGTTGTCTCAGATGGTTAATAGAAATTATTGTAGTTTTCACAGTGAAAGTTCTTTCAGAAATTTTTCTTTGGCATAACATTTGATTCCAGGATGAATTTTGAAGAAATGTCACTCCTTCTCGCTGGACTTGGGGTAGCATGTCCTGATTCCGCCCTCTCCCACGGACCTGCACACTCCTGGCTTGGCCTCTCCCCCACGCAGGCCCACCAATTTCATAAAATAGTAATCTCTAGGCAAATATCTGAGAGCTGTTGTTTTCCTTAATAATACACTACATAGATAATCGTGTTATTTATAATATCTGAATTTTATTTTACTACTTTTGTTGCCTACTGCATTGGCTAAACATTCACTACTATATTCAATGGAAGTGGTAAAAATAGAAATCCCTGCTATATTCTTCATCTTAAGAGAAAAGTGTTTAGTCTTTCAGCATTAAGTATAGTGTTAGTTGCAGCTTTTTCTAGTCCATTGTCTTAACCACTTGGCCACAACTACTGCTGGTGTGAAATCTGGTAGTTATAGCTTTTTCACAGATGCCCTTTATCAGATTGAGGAAACTTCCTTTTATTCCTTATTTCTTGAGAGCTTTCATTAGGGATGAATTTAAAATTTTGTCTAGGTTGTTTTGTGCATCTACTTGAATAATCATATGATTTTTCTTCTTTATTCTGTTAATATGGTGAATTACAGTAATTTGTTTGAATGTTGAGCCAACCTTGCATTCCTGGGATGACTTCCATCTGGTTTCTATGAATTATTGTGGATGACATGGAGATGTACTTCCCATGTCTGCATTCAGTGCTCTCTAGTAGAAACCTACTCTGAGGGAGATGATAGCTGGATGCTGTCTGCTGACCTCACTCCCTGGAGGTGGGCAGCAAGTCCCTTCCTTGACAGGGGATCACAATTGACAAACAAAAGAAAACAGACCAGGAACTAAAAATTTTGGTTGGAGAGGGAGGTGAAATAAAGAAAGAGAAAACTGTGAATTCAGCTTTGTCTACCTGTGCCCACTAGCCCAATATCTCCCAGCAACTGACAAATTAAATTGAAAACACTCTGATATATTATTCCTGCAAAGTTAAGTTGGATAAAGTTGACTTTACAAGAATGTAATAGATATCTGTTTGTAACACAAGTGGGCTTTGGAAAAATATTTATATGTTGATAAGCTAAAATATAATAATAGTTTGTTTCTCTGAGAGATGATTGCATGTTCCTATTAAGAATCAATATTACAGTGAAGGTTAATAGCTTTTAAGTGTGATCACAGCTACTTTACTTGTCTTTCATTTGCTTGGTTGATATCTAAGTGCTTTCTTTTATTTTTACTTAGGCAACTTCCAAGGAACTGCTTGAATATTAAACAATTTTTACCTGCCTTCCTCTCAAAAGAATCTGAGAGAAGGTGGTGCTGTTTACAACCAATCTGAAAAATTATGCACAATTGAATCCCACTGTTGGGAAGAATAGAAGGAGTAGCTGAGCTCAGATAGATATTGGAATGCTTTCTTGCGTTTCGTGAGTCACAAATTTATAGTGTTGGCCTCATCATTTGGTTTGAAGATAAATGAATTCCTAGAAATTCAGAGTGTAATAATCAAGTACAAAAAGCACATTCTTAAAGTTAAATAATTTTTAGACTAAATATCTCTACCTCTTTTTCATTGGAGAACTATCATGGGTTAATCAGATATATATGCATTAAAAATACTATTTTTTTTAACCTATGTGAACACAAGAGTTATACTACTAAAAACATTTAAAAGGAATGATACAATTCTATGTTAAGGCATCTAAATAACTACCATTCACACAAGGAGTAAATTGGGTGTTTGAACATTTATTAGATCAGTATCCTAGTTTTTCCAGCATGATACTTACTCCCATAGATCTGACTAGATAAGAGCTATGAATGACTTTGAAAGCATTAATGACTGTAACCAGCATAATCAAATGCAAACTGCTCTGATTAAATATTTCTTGTTTGAATTTCATTTTCCAGATTGCTAACAGATGCATTTATTCAAAAAATGTTTAATGGTACTTGTTAAATTATAAACTTAAAAACCAACTAATTATAGTTCAGGGACCAGTCTGTGTATAAAAACTATTTTGAAATTAGGGGAAATAGCTATTTTTAGTGTTTTTACTCAATTTATAATTAGGATCGTTTCAAGAAGATTATATACAGTCGCTAGAAGACTAGGTTTAGAAAAGTGAAAAAGTCTTCACTATTTTTAGAGACATTTGAAGTTTTGATTTGGAATGAGCTATAATTTTCAGTTATATTTTCACTAAGAACTTCAAAAACTGGTAAAAAGGAAATTAAAACGTGACTTCAACAAAATCATGAAAATTGAGTAATGCTTATAGTTTTGACAGGATAAAAAGGAAACTCATTTGTGATTCTTACCTGTTTCCACTCCATTCCCACTGGGCATCCCACTGGGTTTAGGTCTAGTAGGTCTTGCAGTTGTCGTATTCAAAACTAAAATAAAGTGGTATATAAATAGTTCATTTTCTTATTGAAAGTTTGCAGCCAAGAGAAACAAAATTTCTCAGAGAATTGAAAGTCATTTAACTAGGCAATAAAAAAGATGACTTACCAAAAAATATTATTCAGATTATAGAAACCACTTTCTTGTATAAAAATAATGGACCTGAATTTCAAAATAGAGACCTGAATTTGTACTCTGAGATGATCACTGGGCTTCAATACTTGACTTGAAAAAGTAACTGGCAAGGGAATTTATAATCTGAAGTGGGAAATATCTCGCTTCATTTATAAGCATTAGCTACGTTCCAAAATGGAACTGAAGAAAGATCAGGACTACATATGCCTAATGAAAAACAAAATCTGAAGTGTATTTGTCAAGGCCTCCATTCATAAGTTGGAGTCTTTCCTTTCATGGGAATCTCTAGGTCCAGAGGTTTCATTATACTAGTCCTTTCACAAAGTCCATTGTCAAACACAGAACTTGATGAAACCATTTCACTTTCTCTCCTGCTCGGGAGAAAGTCATAGCCTTACAAAAGCCTTAAGAAGTGACCAATTTTATAATCCACTTAGAAAACTCTTTAAGGAAGAACACTAAGTGTATTGTGCTTATGCGAGAAGCCCTGGAGCCATACTGCTCATCTTTGATCCACTTTCTAGTTCCTCTGTTTCTCAGCTTCCTCAACTGTACCTCACAGGACACACGGCCAGTGCTCGGTCATTAGTAGCCATGATTGTTACTGCTTACTTTTTAGAAATGTTTAATATAACCAGTCTCACATTAAGCTCTTAACACCTACCATGACACACAAGTCACAGGGAGATACACGTGGTTATGAAAGATTTCTGTGCCTAATTACCTTTAGAAGTTGGAAAATTATAAAAAAAAATACATGGAATCTCCATAAACAAAAGTATATAAAATTATTGTTCTAAAGATGCATTCACCAAGAACATTCATTTGTAAGCAGGTTTCATCATTTGGAACTTTAAGACTCCTTAGAATCACAAAGAAAAAGAAAATAAAATACCAGGGTTTGGTTCAACTTGTGTCTCAGCATTAAGAGTGATTTCCATGAATGAAACCCCTCCAAGTTAACATTTTTCTGAACAAGCTCCAGTGAGGGAGATTTTAGGACCTTTGGAAAATTCAGTAAATTTAACATATTTTCCAATATATGATTGTAACTTTATTTTTGCTGTTTAGAACTTGTGATATTTTTATTCTCTGAAGGAATCAAGTAAAAATGTTCACCCAGAGCAAGAACTTTCCATGCTGAAAAGAGACCCTCTTTTATTAAGACAGAAAGAATATCTGAAAGTAAGTATTAAATAATATAATGTTGTAGCTAACTCTACACTATCTCTATAACTGTCATGGAAAATTGTCCAACACTATTTTAAAAATACGTTTATGTCAGTAAAGTTTCATAGTGATCTCTGCATCTGATTATCCTTAAAATCCTTAGTCTAGTCTTACCACATTTCTGGATTCATCAGTACGTTTCCAGTTATCCACATGGATCAGAGTCTCTCTGTATGTCTCTATTGCAATGTAAGGATATGTAGTCCCCTTTGGCATATTTGGCTGTTTCAATCCATTTCATATCTTCCCCTGCCTGCTGATTATTTAAGTAATCAGAGAAACAACTTACCAGGTCTGATGTGTGGCTTGTCAGATATTCTGGGCCTCACAGGAGTAGTATAAAATCTGTGTGGTGCTGAAAGAGAGGAACACTTTATATTTAATAAGCAACAGACCAAAGCCTCCTGAATGGAGATTTAGCATCCCAGGGACCAACAACTCATACACTTTGCATGGAAGTAGAAAGAAGTTTCAGAAAATTCCCATTATGCATTATAGACTTCATGCTAAAGGAAAACAAAAGAAAACATACATGACTGAAAATTAAAGATGCACATAGAGGTAGTTCATTTGTAAGCTGTGTTAAGGATTAGTCATCATTTTGTCCTTATTCTTCAAGAGCATACATTTTACCAGATGGTTGCTTAACGTGATAAACACATAAGACGTTCATCTGCCTGTTCATCTGTCCATCCATCCATTCATCTAACCTCTCAGTAAAAAGTCATTGTGAAATATTAGTTTGCTAAAGAAGTCAAACAATCTTAAAGGTAAAAAGAGAAATGAATGTTTAGGTAGGTAAAGAAGAAAGAACAGGCGTATGTGGTCTCTATCAAATTGTCTTTGCTCATGAACCTGAAATGAGTAAGTATTCATTCAGTGCCATCCAAAATGCTGTGGAAATGACAGAAAATGACATCTGGTGCCCTGCCTATCAAAAGAGGGCAAGGAAGGAGCAAGAACTCAGATAAACCCTGGCACCTACCCTTGTTACTCTCTGGCCCCGTCATCCAGGACCTGCAAGGAAAGGCCTCCTAAGACTTGCTAAACGAGTAAGTGACCATCGGATGCAGGCAAACTTATGAGAACCTGCTGAAATATTAATGCATCCTAAGGTTTTAACGTAGGCATTTATTCTGGAATTCATCCATTCCACGCCACTCTCCCCTGTCCCCACCTCCCCATCAGATACTTCCTCCTGCCACCAGCTTTCTTGGTAACCTTTTTGGAAAACATTTTTCTTGCAAACTATGCAAGTAGATTACATCGTTTTAATGATTTTTTGTTCACATATTCAGTGGATATTTATATAGCCATAAATCAGCAATGCCTTGCCTACTAAGTTAAAAAAGTATGCCTGTGAAATAGGTTATAATGTAGCTCATTTATAAACATCCAATGTAAAGACTCTGATGAGCAAAATTTTGCCATACTTCAAGCCGACAGCAGTGGACACATACTGAAATTCTCTGTACGTTTAGTTTGGGCCTTCCCAAGTGTAATAACCAGAGTGAACAGAGGAACTGATGCTATAAAAATTAATTCTCACAGACCCTAAAGGGCCTGATGATTATTTGCAATTTTTTTCTTTCAAGTTTGAGATGGTGGGATTCTCTGTTAATTTAACCTATTTCAGCTTTCCATGGAAATCCCTCTGAATGTTAAGTTGCTTCTGCTTAAAACAAAATAAGAATCATAGTTCTTGTCTCATGCTAGAATATATGTAAGTTTTAGGACTTTGGACAGGAAAGAGATTGACCGTAGACCACAGAAATAATCGGCACTACACGATTTCAAAGCCACTGTATCTGAATTTTTGTTTTAGCTTTCCCCATAGTCTTCATTTAAATATAGAATTTTTTAATAAAAGAGCTGAAATATAATTTGAATTCAGGTTATAAGTTACTCATAAAGCTCATCACCAAACAATACATAGCCTTGAGAAAACTGCTGTAAGGTTTCAATTTTATTTTATTTTATTTCTATTTTTTATTTTATTTTTGAGACAGAGTCTCACTCTGTTGCCAGGTGCCAGGCTGGAGTGCAGTGGCATGAGCTCGGCTCACTGCAGCCTCCGCCTCCTGAGTTCAAGCTATTCTCCTGCCTCAGCCTCCCGAGTAGCTGGGACTACAGGCGCGCGCCACCACGCCCAGCTATTTTTTTTTTTTTTTAGTAGAGGCGGGGTTTCACCATGTTGGCCAGGATGGTCTCAATCTCTTGACCTCGTGATCCGCCCGCCTCCGTCCCTCAAAGTGCTGGGATTACAGGTGTGAGCCACCGCCCCCGGCAAGGGTTTCAATTTTAAACATAGAAAAAGAGCTAAGGATATAAGAAAAAAGTCAACATATACAAACATGTTAAGACAATTTATATAATGATATGAGATGATGGATAGACTCCCAATAACCAGTCAAATTTATATTTAATACAATATTTTGAAGGAATTTGATTTAAATTCCACATATACTAGTAATGGTGACACAATATTCTCTTTAACGTAAGAAAAGGCAAAAAAAAAAAAAAACATAATTAACAAGAACAAAAAAAAAAAAAAAAAAAAAAAAAAAAGGAAAGAACAGGCCTATGAGCTTTTATTTTCATTCTATAATCCTTAAATCTCTAAAAAGCTGAAATATTTCTCATTTGGCAACACAACCTGTGTGGAATGAGAGTATTTATCCTGCTTGTTGTAAATATTTACATATTTTGTGGTAAAAACAGTTTGATTATGAGAATCCAGCTATCTTCTCTTAAACCAGAAATTAAAGAGATTTGCAAAAACATAAAATAATAAACATACAGAAATCAGGGTGGAATAGGGATGTCTCACGACTGACATCTGTTCATTGTTGAGGCTGGTCATAGAGACGTGATAGGGCTGTCATTATATTATGCTTCAGATTTCTATGCATAATTATAATAGCAAATAAAATTTTACTGAATAAAAGTTTAAAACATGAAAGTTAAACCAAACAAACAAGAAAGATTTAGAAAATTTAAAGGAACTGCCCTTTACCATAGAGAGTCTTTCTTCATCATGTTTACTTGAAATAAATATTGCCCCAGTGACACAACATGTACTTTAAAATTAGATTTCTTTTATTATCATTTCCTCTCATTATCAAACTTCTCCCACCAGCTTTCCCCCTCAAATTAGAACTCATAATGGGCAACATACACTTATTTGTCTTCTAACTCCCTAAATGTTTGCTTTTGTTTTTCTGTCTTACTTTTGGCTTTCTACCATCTGATAGAAGCAGAATGGGCAAAGGAGTCATTAAAACATGAACAACAACAAAGCATTAGAAGTCCACAAGCGTTATAACCTGAGTAGGATAACGGGATAGAAAAGTATAAACAGGAAAAGCATTTTGAGTGCATTGAGATGAGATGGGGCTTTGTGTAGGTGAGTTCATTTTCCCCAAAGTAGAAAATCACAGAGAAGAAATAAAAAATAGGAAATCACTTCCCTGGATGTTAGATATTATCTTAATTTTGAAGAGTGACTTTTCTTGTTCATAGCTTTTTTTCTTACCCGCAATATTAACGTGTTTCATCAAATGGGGGAGATGGGAGATGGGAGA